AAGGACTCAGCTTTGCTCTGGAGGCTTTGTCTGTTCACACGTGGGTATCGCTGCATGAACAGGAGTAAAGACCTGATTGGGCAGAAGCCATTTCTCATTCTATTTTTGAAGCTTTTTGGCTGAAGCCAGTATTTCAGATGAGGAAATGAAAGTTGGCTGATGTAATTCAGTTTAAAATAGGTGTCACCTTTGGGGACCTAGCCCAGATTGTAATTTTCTTCTGAGTGCTGGGGATTCAGAACTCAGCAAAGAGTACGTCAGGACTGCAACTAAAGTTTGTAGAATTGGCAGGGGATGATGAGCTCATTTTGTTGACAAAAGGTTCTTCTAGACTGAAAGCTCCCTTCTTGCAGCAGTTGGGAACCTTGCTCACCTGATCAGGTTTTAGAAGATAGATGTTTTAGCACATCATCTCAACTTTTTAAAATAGTTTAAGTGATACAAAGCATTGGATCAAGAGGAGATTACCATTCGTGTTTTTGCTCTTTTGAGAATGATAACCTCACATGTTGTTAGAGTACAGGAAGGGCAGGTACTGTGCCCAGGGCTGAGCAGGTGCAAGTGAACTCAGTCAGTTTGCTGCAAGTTACCTGTGAGGGCAGTTGCTTTGTTACCACCTTCCGGGGCAGCAGTAATCCAACGTGCTTTGCAGGGGGAGGCTTAAGGAGCACAGAAGGCAGGACTTGCAGGGTTGGCAGGGGTGCCCACCACCTCCCATGTGGCTCAGGAAAACTACAGGCTACCCTCTAAACAAGCAGTGCCCACCTGCAAGCTGTAGTGGGAGGTGGGTGAACGTGGGTACTAAGCCGTCTGAGTACTCTCTTGAGCTGATTTTTAAATTAGTCATGAATAAAAGTGTGGACCTGCTTGAGCCCAGCCATCCTTAACTGGTGGTGATGCACAGGGGACATGCTTCGGGCATTTCATGCAGCCTTGCGGAACTCGCCTGTCAACACCAAGAATCAAGCTGTGAAGGTAAAGAGGGTCACGCTGCAGCTCTGCTGGGTGGTGGGACCATGGCTGTGGTTGTCCGTGTCCCCAGCTGAACGTGAGCTCTCTGGGGCTCTGAACAGTGTCTGTTTCATCTCCGTGTCATCAGTGAGTCTCTACTAAGGGAGTGTCTGCTGGGCAGTGCTTCCCTGGAAGCCACCTGGCATTCCTGCCATCAAAGCTGTCAGTGTTTGTAATAGAAGCTCCCCAAGGCTCTTCTCCTCAGGGCCTTACGGGTGTGAAGTGAGCTGGACCTTGCTCATTAGCAAACAACAAGTAAGCTTGCCAGGTGAGGTTTACAGTGGCTACGCTTTATAGGCTATTCAATAAGCCTCACTTGCATAATGATTTTCAGTGCTTCTAAGAGTTCCTGCCTGAAAAAGAAGGTAGAATTGTGCTTACTGCCTCCCTTAGGCTGTCTAAAGTTTCCGTGCTGATGCTGTCTAAAATTTGGTCCAGGGAAAGGGGTCTCTGAAGCAGGGTCTTTGCAATTTTGTGGCAGCATCTTGATGTAATCACAACCACACTTCTCTAAGGTGGAGGGAGTGGCCTCTCTGTTCGTGGGTGTGAAAGCAGAGGGAAGCTGCAGCCAAGTAAACCTGCTTTTCTAAAAAACAGATCTCCACAGTTGTGATCCTATAGAGTCTTAAGGCCTTGCTGGTGTTACCAGAAATAGTGATGCTTCTCCCTTGGAAAAAACTTATTTCTTCCAAAATGAGTGGAAAAGCTTAGTTGACATAAATAAGGGATATGTTGAAATTTAAATAAAATAATTTCAGCCTGTTTTTTTTTTTAACCATTCTAGTGTTAGAAATTGGGCAGTGTTTCTAATGAGTTCTGACCCCTTGTTCTCGTTTGGTATTTGTGTGCCTTCACTGTGGCTCTGGGCCTCATTCCCTTTCTCTTTTCCTCTGTAGGAACGAGCCCAGGGTGTGGTGCTGAAAGTACTTACAAATTTTAAGAGCAGTGAAATTGAGCAGGCTGTGCAGTCACTGGACAGAAATGGCATTGACTTGCTAATGAAGTACATTTATAAAGGGTTTGAGAAGCCCACAGAAAATAGCAGCGCAGTGTTACTCCAGTGGCATGAAAAGGTATGTGAACACATTGCCTACACAGGCAGCACACTGACTCACTCCAACCCCAGGGTTCAAATCAGCAGGCCAGATTTTCCAGAACATAGGACAGTCTGATAGGCATATGAGAATAAGGGGCCACACTTAAAGCAACTTGGGACACCTGATCACTTACCTCTCTCAAGGAAGCAGCTGGTAGAGGTTCGCAATGCGATCTCTAGTAATCACAGTTACTTTAGCTCTCGATTTATGCCAGGCAGGTCATGGGGCAGGTGACTTGGCATAGCAGGGTAGATGGGTAGTCCCAGGTGGGAGGAAGGCAGGCTTACTGGTGGCTGGGGCTTCATAATATTTTCTTTGCATTGATGGAAGTGGTGGTCAGGGGCTCTTAGGAATGCAGGCTGAGCCATCTGGCCAGCTTTTTGGGCTTCCTGCTCCGGCCTCAGCCTCATCAGGCCAGAGTAGGAAGTGGCAGAAACCTTGAACATCACTGAATAGGGCCTTCATCCACCTGAAGCAGAAAAGGCTGTGCGTGTACTTTGCTTGGGTTGGTACAGGAACAGAGCTGCCTGTCTAGCCCGTGTCTTGCCTGGGTGCCAGTGTCCTCTTGCACTGTAGAGCTGCAGGAAGCCTGTCCACCATTACAGGAAACTAAGCTATTACTAACACGTCCTTCCCAAAAGGCTCTGTGGTTTTAATGGAGTGGTTCTCTTGCTGAGGGGTCCGTCACTTGGCAGCCTTGGTGCTGGGCTCCAGTGCCGGCCTTTGGTCCTGCTGGTGGGTGTGCTCTGCCTGCTCAGCTGGAAGGTGAGCTCCTGGGCTTTGTAGGTGGGGGTGGCTGTGGTACTGGAGGAGCTGAGTGAGCCCTCTGCATGATATGAAGGCCAGGCCGTTTGGTTCCTTTAAGGCAACATGGTGCTCTGCTCTATTGGAACTTCTAATGAGGACTCCTGGAGGCAGCTGTAATGGGCTTGCATCTACTTAAGTGCTGAGGGCAATGCTGGCAGGCCAGAAACAAAAGGGAAAGCTTGTTGAAGGGAAAATTGGGTGGCAGGGGCCTTCTGCTGTACGTGTGTGCTTGGTAATAATGTTCTCAAGCCCAGCGCTGCTGCCTCCAGAGATGGCAGCCCTTTAGGACCCTTGGCTCCAGGATGGGGCTCCATCCCTAGAACGTGACCGCTGTTGCTGCCTTGCAGGAATCTTTTTTCAGAGGGTCTGTGACACGTTGGGACCTGGGTCTGGGAATGCATGATTCCATCTACCCTACAAGCTAGGTTCCCTTTGGCCAACAGATCTCATTTGATGTTTCCTTTTCCTGCCCCCACAGGCATTAGCAGTAGGAGGACTAGGCTCCATTATAAGAGTTCTTACAGCAAGAAAGACTGTTTAAAAAATAGACTCATGTTACCTTGAGAAGAAGTTTGGATGCACGGCTGGTGAAGAAGGTATTGACAACAGACCATCTTCCTAGGAACTTCCCAACTATTTCAGGACATGCATCCTCTGAAGTGTATTTTATATTCAAGGTGGAGGGAGAAATCGTCTTGCTGTTTCCTAAGTCCTTTGCAGGATCTGATAGTCTATGCCTTTGTCTGCGAGTACTGCAGAGCTGACATTGTGACTGTCTCCCGGAGAGGCTGGCCAGCACTGGTCAGCAGCACAGGCCTGTGTGCACTGCCTGTTTAAAAGGGGGGGGTGATTTGGGCAGGTGCAGATCTTAAGGGCTGTGGTCAGGGGGAGAGCTTGGTGTTTTTGAAGTGGAAAACCCTCGAGGGTTTGTACAGATACCCCACCCTCCCAGAGAAGGCAGGCTCTCTTGGATTCATTGTAAAGTGCCTGCTGCATCAATAAAGCTCTTGGCTTATTAGTACATACTTTGTGGTGCATTTCATGTATGTAAAAAAAATGGGCAGTGAATGGGATGGTAATGAATAAGAGGTTGACTATTCTAGAAACTGGATGTGGAGGGTGGTAGATGAGTGAGTGTGCCTGTCCCTGGGCGCCAGCATGGGAACCTAGCCCTCTGGCCACAACAGTGCCTCAGACTTGGGCTGCAGCTGCTGGCCGCTATGGAGAGATGTTTTGTCGAATAACTTTGTTTCTAACTCCTTTGATTTGCATGTAATTTTGGCACTTATTTAATAAAGTGCCAGACATTCAGTAATTGACCTGGGCTTTAAAACTCTCTCCTGTTTGTGTGACTGCACTTGTGGGGTATTTGGAGAGTGGGCCTCAGACACCTGCTGACTCTGGGTCTGGCTGTTTTAACATGACATGGACAATTCATTAATTCTTTAAAGGATTAAAAGCAAAAAACAGGTAGCAGTCAGCCTGTAGATATAAAAGGAACATTTTTTTGCCTATGACCAGTAACAGTGAGCCTCTCTGAGGAGCAAAAATGCAATTTTTTCCTTCTTGGCACATATGACTACAGTTTGCTTTCTGTTAAAGGTTAAGGACCCTGTTCATACTCTTGAAGCTCTTCCCAGTCATTCGAGCCTTGGGACAGACTTTGACCGAAGTGACACAACCTTCCCTACTGCTCTGCAGAACCCCCATCATCCCTGAGCGGTAGGACCAGGCTGCTGGCTTCATTAAGTTATATGTAATTATATGTATTTACTCACCCAAAACCCAGATCTGGGGAGGTTCTTTCTGAAAGACAAAAATTCTATAGTCTGTCCTTCCCCCTTTTTTAAATTATTAGATTACTGGCTTATGACTTGGGAACAGCCAGATGGAAAGATACATGGGGCAAGGTATGGAGAAAGGGCAGAGCTTCCAGGCTCTGAGTGCGCCACTCCTTACAGCTCCATGTTTCAACCGGAGGCTCCATGCTATAGTCCTTGAAGTATTAAATAGACGTAATGTACTAAATCTAACAAGCCAGAGATCGACATACCAACTATACCAAATAAAACCCATGCAGTTGCATCTGGATTAAAGAACTTTTAATCAAAAAGTATGTGACACCACAAATGAATTTTCTACAGTAGTTTAGATAATAGAATTCCTATTTACAACATGAGATTAAGATCAATGCTCATATAAAGGGCTATATATACTGTCTATCACAGAACGTTTTGTACAAGTAAAAGTGCATTAAATCACTTATTCCACGCTTCCTCTTAAAGCTGAAAGAAACTCAACATGCAGGAGGAAAGCCTAATCAGAATGGATCCTCCCTAAGCAAATACAGACTTAGTGATGAGCTCCAAACTACACGTAAAGCTGCCGAGGGATGGGGTGATGTGGGGAAGGGAACGGGTGAGACCAGCTCGGGCTGGCAGGCCTCAGAGGAGTGGGCGGGGCTCCCAAGCTGTGATGCCTCTGGCAAGCCCTGAATCACCACATCTTAGGGACTGACTCCCTCCTGGCACAGCTGGCAAAGCTACCCCTCATCAGAATTACAGAAGGGGCTCGTGTTTTGCGTTCCCACCAGGTAAATGGGAAATGTCATTCTAAACCCCAGACATCTGTAGGGAGGAGCCCCAGGGGGAGATACATAATGGAGAACAGGTCACCTGGATGGCAGCCCAAACTGGGTGAAAGGCCATGCTGCCCTTGCTTGGTACTTCCACGTCCATGGGAACATAGTAGGCTTACTCTAAATCCCCCCTTCTTTTTAGATATATATTTTAACCCTAAGCATTTTTGAGAAACGTAACCTTACATCATTGGATAACTGGTAAATTTAGGAGTCCCAGTTACTCAGTTTTTTGTTTAACCAGTGAAACTTTCATTACACTATAAATCAGTAAGCAGTTTCCCTTTAGATTTGATTTTGTGGCTTATCCAGGGCAAGCATGTTCCCTTTTCCTTAATAATGCAAGTTTTTATTAGTCACTACCAGAGCCATCTGCATTGCTCTCAAGTACTGCAGCCAGCTGGGCGCTATATATGACTGTAGTGTTGTCTTAAATATTTGGGGGTAGAACGAGGGAGAGAGTGGTGGCTCTAAGGCACACCACCTCCAATGTTTTGGTCAAGGCTGGGGGGGAAGGCCAGCTGCTGCTTCCTTTGAATACAGCACACTGTCCTTAACAGTAGGAAACATGTGATTAGTATTTGCTCAGTATGACAACACAGAATTAAGAGCAAAACAAATGAACTACCACCACTGCTTCAAAGAGAAGCAGATGCCACGGAAGGCTAGTCAAAGTACAAAGGGACAGGAATCCCAATCTTAGAAATAATTTCCTAGTGATGCTCTGATTTTCCTTTAAGAATACCAGTTAATGGATTTTATAATACAGAAGCTGTATTTATAATAGTGGAGAAGTTTAGCTATAAAAAATAGTTTAAAATGGTTTACCAGCAACCTATCCAAGACAAGTACATTCATTAAAAAGGCAATTGAGTGTATTTGGTACTAAGGATCTTTTTATACATTTGTTATTTTTCTTCAGTAAAATGAGATACTGTCAGAAAGTTGCATATTCATTAATCCACATGGGCTCCAGAAGACCTTAAAGATGTACACATCTAAAGTTCTAGGTGGTTTGAGAAACAAGGTAAAATAATGTTTTCTGGAGAGGAAGAGTCAAAAAGCCTCTTCTAACTCATCTGAACCCAAACACGCGAACAGGGAAGGGCATTTTAAAAAGCCACCCTTGCCAAGTTGGCTCCCTGCAGCAGCAGCAGGTGGCATGGCCTGCTGGGCACCGTTTCAAAGGGCTGTCTGTATGCCAGCATCATCACTACATGACGGCTCACTTGCCTCGTCTCTGATGGATGCTGATGGCTTCAACTTTAAGTGATAACATTAAAAGTTAGAGGATTCAGGTGCATCGCAGCTGGCAGAGCTGGGATTTTAGTAGCACTGTGGAAATGGGGGTAATGCCAGGACCTTCCCATTTGGTGACCAGAGTGACATGGGATCAGCTACCTCCTGAGGTTCACGTCAGTCTGCAGGGAAGCGCGCCTTAACTCTTGTAAACAATGTTGAGTCGCTTGTACAAAATACTGCAGTTACAGTGATTAAAAACCCACCCAGACTGGTGTGTCAGTGTTCTTTTCACAGAAAAAGTGCCAGCCCGTGGAGCCCTACCCCTGGGGAGCTCCACCTAGGACCACGGTATCCGAGGGCTGGAGATGGATGGCCGGATGCTGCCCTTGGGAGCTGGCTTGGACCCAAACCACGACATCTGTGTTGAAACAGAAAAGTCTCTTGAGATGAGAATTAGGAGCAGGGGCAGAGGAGGCTGAAAGAGGCCCCTGAGCCGCTGCTAGCAGAGCCGCGAAGACAACGGCTGCAGAACCAGTCTGCAGGGAGGAAAGCCCACTCACTCAAGTGTGGCAGGGCAACTGGGGAAAAACCAGCTGCCAAGAACAAGGTAGTGCAACTGTGGGTAATTCTTCCTTCAAATCTTTTTCTATTATATCATTTATGCAGGTACTTTTTGAATATTTTTCTTTTATAATTTTTATAACATCTGGGTGCTGGACCCAGATGAGGACCCATGAATGAAGCGATATCAATGAACGTGCTTTAGAAAATACAAGGCCTACTGGTCAGGTCAGCACGGACCTGCATGTCTTCAGGAACTACTGCCTGAGTTCATCATCCAAAGCACCTTCTGAGCCGCTAATGCTGTTGGGAGCCGGTCTCTGCCAGTGCAGGTAACTAAGGTGTTTTAGAAGCAGGACAGCAGACCAGGGAACCCTACCTTATACTCCAGGGTTTCTTTGAGCATGTTCTCTTCCTCTTGAGAAAAGTTCAGCAACACCGACACAGCTTTTATGAGATGAAAAGCCTGAAACAAAGTTTGGCTGCCATGGGCCTTGGTGGAGGGGAGAGGGGGTGTGAGGTGGTTGGGGGACAGTCAGGGATAAACCTTCCTCGTTCTGCTCCCCACTTGGTTAGGAAGGACCACGTGGAGGGTGAAGTCAGCATTCTGAGATCTGACAGGTTCTTTCTCTCCCCTCCCTCCCGCTTTTACATCGGGGACCAGCAAGATCGCCCAGGACATCCACAGCAGCTATGCAGGATGTTGGGCAGTCACGTGGAGGGTGAAGTCAGCATTCTGAGATCTGACAGGTTCTTTCTCTCCCCTCCCTCCCGCTTTTACATCGGGGACCAGCAAGATCGCCCAGGACATCCACAGCAGCTATGCAGGATGTTGGGCAGATCCAGTGCCCTGGACTCTGGCCTTGGCATCCCGTCCACATCCCCCAGGAGCTAGTTCCCCACTTGACGCTCCCTACTTGCTGCTCAGTCAGGTCAATTCCAGCTGGAGAAAGGACTAAGTCTCCATGCCAGTGGTAACATTGGAATGTGGGAGAGGAAAAAAGAAAGGGATTTGGTGGGAAGCCATGCAGGTCTCAGACAAATAAGCCAGACCCTGGGGTGGAACTCAGAACTCAAAAAGCAACTCAGAAACCCTTTACCTCAGATTCGCGACAGGACATGAATTTTAAAACCACATGTTTAAGGTACTCGAAGTTGACCTCACGGGCATCAGTAGTTAGGTCAGCATTATTCGTGACAGCAGGGGCCAGGTTTGGCATCTCAGGGCCAGGCTTCTCTCGGACTTCAAAAAGCTCATTATCGGGTCTGATTTTCTGAAAAACCAATGGAAAGATGTTACATCAAGCCCTTCAAGAGAGGTCTGAAAATCACCTGGGAGATTCATCTGGCCCAAGCTGTGATCACCTGCTCGTTCCCTTCCACACCTTGCGCATAGCAGGGCAAAAAGGCCCCACTGGGAAAGAAGCACAAGTGTCTGAAGGTGGCTCAGTCCCTCCAGCTGGGGTAGACAGCTGAAAAGGGGAGAAGTCATCTGGGGAAGTTCAGACATTTCCTTAATCCACGTCAGGACACACCAGGGTCAGGGAGCACCCCAGCCAGGGCAGAGGTGCTGTGTCCTCCTGTGGTCGGGTCTGCCACTGTCCCATTCACATGTGCAGACATCCCTTCAATGACCTCTCAGACAACATTTAGGCTCGGAGAAGGCAGGCACATGCCCGAGGTCATGCAGCCACTTTTCAGAGGCATGTAGAAGCTGGCAAAGCCACTGTCCCACCAGCCAACATCTGACTTCCCAGAGACCATTGCAGTCAGTTAGGGGAAGGACAGCATTGTCAGGCAGCAAGGGACTCCAGAAGGATGGGAGGGCTGGGAGGGTACAGGCAGTGGAAGGAGAGGGACACTTACCAGTTCCTTCTGCAGAGTCTTTTTGAGTTCCAGCATCCTCTGCTGCATCTGCTTTATGGTCTGAAACAAATCCCCCACCCCGCAAAAAGCAATTCATTAAACACATTTCACCATCTTTAAGGTGCAAAGGACAACAGAGCAGACACCCTCTTGGGCCCCCATGACCCCGTCAGAAGTCCCTGCCTTGTCGCCTGAGAGCTGCTGCCTCGGGCTCTCTCCCTCACGTGCCACTGCGTCGCACACTTGCTCTCCAGGCCCAGCAGCGGCACTGGAGTGGTCAGAACCCCTCTGCGGTGCACATGAATGTTGCAGTGCCGCCCTCCCCTCCCCACGGGCTCGGTCCTCGGGACTGCTTTTGCGCTTGCCTCTGTAAACAGCACAGCTAGAAACATCCCTTTACAGTATATACTGTCCTTCAAAATTATTTTTATGTGTTACGCTCCCCAAGCAGGATACTTAGGCCAAAATTTATGTTTTTCATCATCACCATTGCCTTCTGGAAAAGAACTGGCAATACGTATTTTGAACAGTGTAGAAGTTCATGGTTTTTCTGTACAATCCACCAACACTGGGTTTGATTTCTTTAACTTATTTTATTTTTAGTCTGTTAAGTATTATGAGCCTTCAATGTAGTTTGTTACACATTCCAATAATTGCTAGAAAGGCTGAAACTTTGTTTTCCCAATGAAAAGAATTTACTGTACAATCAGCAATACAGGAAAAAATTTAAATAAGAATCTCTCCAAAATCTGAAACTGTAGTATCAAAATGAGTTTCTCCTATGGACTTGTCTCTGTCACCATTCTTGCACTGAGTAGCTGGAATTTTGAATGGTATTTTTCACTTATTGGAGTTTTCACAGCTTTCTACAATTTTCCTAGTTATAAATGTGACAGTAACTCTAGGAGCACCATGCCTTGTTGTGTAGCTGAATTTCTGTTTTTGAGCAGAGCTGTAACAGCCTTTATTTTCTTCAGAGAAGTAGCCCCACAGTGTGTCTAGAGGAAGGAGGCGCCTGGGTCAGAGGACCAGCTCCTGTCAGGCACATGGAACGGCCTCCAACACAACCCATTTTATAAAATAGTAATGAGTTGTTTTCATCTGTATTCTCTTGCTTGACCAGGAAGCTGGACGTTCTCCAAAAAATACATATGATATTTTATTTTATGACTTGATTTTCTAGGTTCTTGGCTCATTCATTAATTCATTCAACAAGTACTGATTATGTGCCTACTATGTGCCAGACACTGTTGTACAGGCTGGGGGAACAGAGATAAACAAAACAAAAAAACAGTGTCTGCCCTCAAGAGGGAAATGTCAATACCCAACATACAGTGTATCAGAGGTAGTAAGAGGTGTGGGACAAAAGAGCAGGGTACAGGGAGAGGGAGTTCTGGTGGTGAGGGCTGACAAGGGGTAGCAGGGGGGCCTTACTTGACAAATGACACCATGAAGGGAGTGAGGGTAATTCGGCAAAGAATCTTGCAACAGAAGGCTCAGCATGTGCAAAGGCCCTGAGGTGGGAGGCTGCTTGGTATTCACAGAAAGGCAAGGCCAGCATAGCCGAGAGAGAATGCTGGGAAAGCAGAGTGACTGTGGTGAGAAGGGCGACAACGGGCCAAGCCACACACAGCTTTGCAGGCCACTGAAGGATTTTGGCCTTTATAGAGAGACGGGATGTTGTCGGAGGGCTGGAACAGAGCAGTGACAGGGAAACCAGTTAGAAGCCCAACACCATTCTCTAGGGAAGAGGATGGTCACCTGGCCTGCAGTGGTGGTAGAGTGGGGATGAAATACAGCTCATTCTGGTTATAGTTTGAAGGGAGAGCCAAAAGGATTTGCTAATGGTTAGGATGTTGGTTGTGGAAAAAATAAGGGGGTTGAGGATGACACCAAGGCTTTTGCCATTTACTAAAGAGGAAAGATGGCAGTAGGCACTAGGGAGCATGGTGAACCTCAAGTGTGGTTTTGGATGTTTCAAGTTTCAGATGCCTTTCAGACACTCATGTGGAGATACAGATACAGAGCAGATGGACATATGGTCCAGAGCTCATGGAAGCTTTGTGGGCCTGAGAGAATGATGTGGGGGCCAAGCCAGCGGCATACAGTACAGGGGAGATTGCCAAGGGAGTGAGTGCAATTCAGAGATGAGGTCCAAGGGCTGGACCCTGGGGGACACAATGCTTGTATTGTACAAAATACACTTTTCTGTATTTTGTATTTCACACTAAGAGGTTAAATGTGTGAGAGAGAGAAAGAGAGAGAATGAACACTTTTCCTTTTGTTAAATACCTAAAACAACTCGTGCCCTCCCACCCCCGAAAGCTCACAATTTGGGGACAGAATTACAGGCCAGAGCAATAACTAGCCAGCATACAACTTCACAGGGCGTTTGAAAACCAGGACCAAGTGAGACTCTGCCTTTGTGGGTGACAGGCCTCGCTGGATGCATGGAATCAGGACATTTATTAAGCCTCTACCAAGTACCAGAAATTTTACAGGACAGCTAACAAACACGTCCATTTCATTTCCCACCTCCCCAGCTCAAAAACAATCACTTAAAAGTAGGTATTTCTGTCATTTCACAGCTACAGAAAGGAAGTGAGAGGTAAGGTGACTGGTCCAATATGACCCAGATGGTGACAGCAGAATTGGTTGGGAACACCTAGACTTACTGCTGCTTAAGCTCCTATTCTCTGGACATTCTCTTGGGTGGGGAGGGCGACGACTGGCAGGTGTGAGAGGCAGGCATGGCAGGATGAGGCCCAGGAAGAAGCCCTACTGATGAGAGGCCATCTCTCCCCCTAGAGATGTGCAGGGGCATCAGCAAAACTCTCCAAGAAGGGACTGAATGATTTGAGGCACAGGATGGGGTAAGAGTAGAGACACAAACAGCTGAGTAAAGAACATTCTCACCTTATTTTTCTCCAGAAGTTGCTGCTCCAGGTCCTGTTTTTCCTTCTGTAATTGCCCGAGATCCATGGCCCCCACCTCACCATTTGGGATTCCCTCCACAGCCTGAAGCTGGTACGCAGGGTCCTGCATAGCCTGGGAGGTTACCTACAGCAAGTGATGGTGGCGAGTTAAGAGCAAGGAATGTAATGTCAAGCTAAGCCACAGGTCTGTGGGGAAGGGGACCAGACTCGTGCCAAAGGCGCAGTCTGGTGTGTTCCAACAAGTAGCTGATCAGGAACCAAACTTCTACTACGGAGATCCCCCCTGGGCCTTCCAGAGCGACAAAAAGCAATCCAGGCGATGAATCTGCTGGGAAGGGATTTCACCCTGAACCCTGACAGGGGCTGCCTCGCCCACTGGGCTCCTCAGGGCTCACAGCCTCCTAGTTAGTCAGTTAAGCAGCCTCACTTTATATTTCCTCGTGGCCAACTGCACATGGACTTGGTGGGCTAAGATGGGTCTTACGTGAGGCTCACTGACGGAGAGCAGGTCCTCCTGAGCAGCGGCTGCGTCGGACTCCACAGCCCGCAAGCTCCTCAGGGCCTCCAGCTCACTGTGCAGCTGGTGCGTCTGCAGCAGGGCACAGTCATGACCTAGGCCAGGCAGCAGGTAGGTGAGCACCATGAGCCTGGTGGCTCCCTGCTGCCCCATGACTGGGCCACCTCAGGGCATGAGTGCTGGTAGGAACAGGTGAGAAGGCTGGGTCCGGGGCAGACCCTTACCTTTCTTCAGCTGGAGAATTTCCTGCTCCTTCTGGAGAATAACTTCAGTTTTTTCCTGCAGACTCTGCTCCTTTTCATCTATCATGGCTGTCAGGTTAGCAGTCTTACAGAGGGAAAGCAGAATGAGAGAAGGCTGGCAGAGCAACCCCATCTCTCCTAAAGGAATCTCCGTTTTTCCACTACCAGAGTCTCTAGTGAATCTCTCCACAAATGCTTCCCTGAAGTCGACAGCCTACAACAGACCCCAAGCTAACCTCTGCTCCTATAAATACACAAATCAGCTCTCTTTGGCAGGGGCCCTGCACGCAGGAAATCACCCTCCCTGCCCCTCTGGCCATGGTGGGCCTACCAGAGATGTGGCTGTTCCACCCAGCCTGCCAACAAGCTATTATAACTGTAACTTCCATGTCCTGAGTGCCTGCAATGAGCCCAGCAGTGGATACACATGACCTCATTACCATATCCTGGAAGGTGTGATTATCCTAGTCTTTTAAGAGGCAGCTCAAGAGACTTACCAAAGGCCTAGAGCCAGTTACCTAGAAGGTCTGGGGCCTCACACTGCGTCTGTCTTCAAAGGAAGGCTTTCCCCACCCTTCCTGCTGAAAGGTCCACCGAATATGGTCTCTAGGGCCTGTAGGCAGGGATGGCTCCCTTCAGAGAATAGAGCCCAGTAGGTGATATTTTTTCCAGGTGATGTTTATAACAATAACTGGCTATCAAAAATCAAAAAGGCCATCCTGTGGGGTGAGGATTTCTTTACAGCGTTTTCCTCCCATCTTCCTAGAGACCTCAGGGGAATGACACAGTTGGCAGCATTCCTGAGACCTGTGTCCCCCCCCTGCCCTAGACAGACGGGGAGGTAATGTGGTCATCCTTAGGACTGAGGAGGGGCATCGCCCACACCTCAGGGTCGCCTGGGGCCTACCTGTTGCTGGAACTCTTCCCTCTGCTTCCGCACCTCCTCCAGGGCTTGAGCCATTGCCACACTCACAATTTCTCTCTGACTCCATTCATCCTACAATCCAGCAGACATGTAGGAGATTGAGCCCCAAACCTCTATTCCCATTTTTTTAGCTGCAGCCTTCATGTGAGGGAGGGAGTATTGCCTTGCAGGCCCAGACTAACGCTCCTCTTCGAGGGCCCCAGGCTGCTCTCTAGCTGCAGTGCCTTCTGTTTTCCTCTGAGAACTGTCCTAGTGGGCCAAGCACTGACCTCTGGAAATGGGCACATGGCTGACGGTTGGTCATCCTATGAACACACTAGTCAGTGTGCAGGCCAAAGCTAGGAGACCTAGAACTTGAAGAGCTGGTCTAATGAAATCAATGCAGAAAAAGAAGAAAAAGACTCTCAGACCCATGGGAATGTAGTAGTGCAC